AACCAATCGCTTAATACACAAATGTAATGTCAATTCAGTCGTCAATTAAGTGGTGGCACCAGTCCTGGCATCCGAAGTGTTGTCCCGCAGTCGCAAGAGTTGGTACAGTCGGACAAATTTCAAGTGATGGTCGATGTGTCGCACTTCACGCCGGAGGAGCTGATGGTGAAGACAGTGGACAATACAATCGTCGTCACCGCCAAACACGAAGACCGCGCCGACGACTTTGGATTCATTTCGCGACAGTTCTCACGAAAGTATTTATTGCCCGTAGATATCGATCCGCTGACCGTCACGTCATCTCTCAGTCCCGAAGGCATTCTCACTCTTCAGGTCTGATCATATCATTCGCGCATTGAATACACATATCTATTGTTTTATAAATAACTCAATTAAATGTCACATTAAATACTAAACCATTTGTTGTAAACCAAAGGCACCGCGAAAACAGCCGGAGCTGAAGGAAGGCGAGCGAAACGTCCCGATCTCTCTGTCCGAGTCTTCGCCGATTCCACAGCCAAAGGAGATCCCAGTTGTCAACGAAACGGCTCCCAAATAATGGATTCAATCACTAATTATGGCTATAATTAACAGGAGTTTGACTGCTTTTAATTACAATTAGTTTTGACGAGTTTTTGCATTACTTTTTTCATTGAATACAAAATTTTTGCAAAACTTTTATAATAAATGCAAACATAAAAATCTTCGACAATAAAAAAGTCACTTAAAAATATCTAATTTATTAAAAGTAAATCAATATTTTAAAAAACACTCTTCGGTTTAATTATAAATTAAATTCATTTAAAAATAAATTATATTTATTTAAAAATCAAAATAAATCTTTAGTTATAAATATTTTAATAAAGTGTCTCATTATTAGTCCAAATATTAATCCGAGTAATCATTGAATTGAAAATTAAATATTAAATTATTATTTAAAAAATAAAAGACTTTAAAATCAAATCAAATATAACTTAAAGAGAGTTTCAATTGAAACTAAAATTACAAAAAAATCAAATGACGAGAAATTTAGTCCACTTTTTGAACCGTTTTTCCGGACTTTTTGACGGCTTCGAAGACTTCATCGTAAGTATAGGTCTGTTGGCTGTTATCGATGACCACAACCGCCGACTGAGTGGTCNCGAAGACTTCATCGTAAGTATAGGTCTGTTGGCTGTTATCGATGACCACAACCGCCGACTGAGTGGTCAGATCCGTGTCCACCGATAGGAGCCGATCGCCAAAAGCCTTCGCCAAACACCTCTTCACGGAGTTAACACATCCCTCACATGTCATCTCAACTCTGAATCGGTATGTCTTCGGAGCCGACATATTGTCACCACTTTTGCTGCACTCACTGTCTGTCTGTCTCTCAAACCACAGCTCTATTCAAATGAATGGCAAAACACTTATGAATTAATGAAACACTTATTTATCACTTCATTCACCGCTTTTTCAAATGTTATTTCAATGCAATTATTATATCATATCATCTATTGATTCATTGTTTTGATATGATATGGCGATGGGTTCACCACATATTACGTTACCTTTTATTTCCTACAATTGTCCCCCATATTCAATATGATGTGGTTATGGGCTTTAGTGGGTGTTGTGAACCCCAACTCCTAATTCCCCTACATATATATTAAATATGTTGGTAACGATAGTTGTGTATTATATGTAATCCATGTCATAATTTTCACATTTTATTAATAAATGTCAAATAAGTTTGAGATAATAGCTCTCTCTCTC